TATATATATAATTGATAAATAGCAAAGTACTTAAGTACTTGTTATAGGGACCATGACCCTGTAGGATACAGTAGTGAGAAGAGGTCAGAGGGAGCAACCAGTAAGAGCTGCAGGACACTCAGTAGATCGCCACAACTAAAAGTGTTGGTTTCTGAGCTGACTATAGGGTACCACGGAGACCATGAAAAGTGAGTAGTTACTGCCTTCTTTTACAAACAACAAAGTTCTATAATACATTTTTCCAACAGGGAAAGGCTGTCTTTCAATGTTGGAAAGTATAGTTGTTTTTCCAATTGTTAGCATTGTTTCCTGCACTAAAATCCTAGGTTCAAATGTCATAATCAGCAAGGAATTCTGATGGGAACTGCTCAGTGTGGAAATGCTATTTCTGTTATTTTCTGGGTTTGCTCTGGGTGTTCTAGTCTTCACCCACCATCCAAAAGATAGGTGGACATATTTCATTTTCACCCTGATTGGTGGATCAGGGCAAATATCTCCAGTTCTCAAGAAAAACATGTTGATATATCTGGCTATTTGCGATTCACTGATTTCTTCACTGTTCCCATCCTTTTGGTTGACATTGGTGATCTGTGCACATGGGAATCCCATCTGTGCACAGCAATGGCTGCCGAAAACCTTTTTGATAATTTGTAGATGCTCTTGATTTTCCTCATTGAAATTGGTCTTTTTAACAGTTTACTACCTACGCAGGTAAAGGTTATTCATAAGAAACACACAATGTTTTTCTCATAAAAGCTATTCTGTGATCAGAATTGCAATATGGTGGATGTACAATGAAAATATGTAAAAAATCAAGGATTTTCTATAGGCTACATTATAAAACTGTATAAAGTTCAGTAGATGTATGCTTATGTGAAATGTATGCATTTTATAGCAGTAAATAGTGCACACTGGGCTTTTATAATAATGAACTTAACCTGACCCTCTGGGCCTACTGCCAATATTAGAAATGATTCACATGTGTGCTATTTTCCACTATGCATGTAGCCAGTGTAGTAAAAGTGACTATTATGTGTGGTTATGTGGAATAGATTGTTTCTTTCTATGAGGAGCCATTGTTCTTACTCTTAATGAATGCTGTAACTGATTTAGAACCCAACACAGTTAAAGAGAGTCTTTTTTTGGCATTGCTAAACAGTATGGTGGAAAGCTAAGGTTGAAGAACTTGTTTGCCTGTGACCCTACCAGCAGTCAAATAATTTCTTCATAATCAGGGGGTCTGTTTTAAAGCAGATCTATGCTCTTGACTCTTGCTGGAATAGATAAATAGAGAGTAACAGAATGACTAAAAAGCGTAGTTGAGTCTGTACTCAAAGTTCACATGACCAAAGGCCTAGACTTGTAGTCAGATAGCCAACACAAGAGCTGCATTTATTTCAAGGAAGATAAATATGTCAGCCTTTCTGTTACTTTCTATCTATTCCAGTAATGGTATTAGATCAATTTGACTTTTTTCAAGTTTATGTTTTTCCAACTTTAGTTGTATATCTGTTTTTATTATATGTATACAGGATTGTTTGTTTGTATACAAATAGAATTTATTTTACATGTATTGAATGATATATACAAATGTATATATCATTCAATACATGTAAAATAAATTCTATTTGTATACAAACAAACAATACTGTAGTGGTATACAGGCTACAGAGAGGCTACACCAGGGGGGCACTGTGCCAGCAATTCACATTTGTGTTGCTATTATATGTATACAATCAATTATAAAAATAAATAATAAAAACAGAACAAAGGATTCCCAGAGAATAATGGGTTAGCTAAAGAGACAGAGAAATCTTTCTTTATTTTAGGTAGTCAATATGTCAGAAAAACCTGGAACTGGGACTTCAGATAGAGAGATGAATCGTTAATATTCGTGTGCACATTTCACCTTAAGCTATTGGTCACTTTTTAAAACAGAGCTGCTAGGATTAGACAGGTAAAAGTAAAAATAAATCTAATGCCCCATCTGTTGGCTCAAATAAGAGAACACACAATATTCATGTGCAATATTCCAATTTTACCTTACTGACAGTGATAGAACATGAGAGCAACATATCATATGCCAAGAAATGCATCAAGGGTAAATTACATCTAAACCCAATCACTAAAATCTCATATAAGCGTTACCATGTTAGTGTATTTGCAAAAGTTGTTTTCAATCTGTTTAAATCTGCAACTCTTTTATCTAGTTTACCCATTGTTAGTTTTACTACAATAAGTGTTCCTGTCAATAAAAGTGCAAATAAATTATCCTGTGTATAATGACGCTAAAGTTTTATTTCTATTACCAAACATAGTTATTTACAAATAAGAAAAAATATGTTTTTGTGCTTTTTTTGTTTTGTAATAATGCATCTTCAAAAAAAATTAAGGAACAAACGAATGCAAACAAAAAAAGTTAAAATGAAAAAAATGGGAAAAAAGCAGCAAAATAATAGTAGAAAAATGAAGGAGGGAGTTCATTTTTGGGCTGATTAAAGTAAGAGTTCCTAAGAGGTTAAATAGGAACACCATTGCTTTAACTGATCTCATATGCAGAACAAAGGTCGCCTCTCTGGGGATTACACTTCTGC